TATACAGAAATGCAGAATAGACTTTTATTCAAAGACACAAACAGAGCAAACTTCCTTTATAGCTGCAAGTTTAATGTAAGTACTCAGATATACATTTATGTAACCCATTGTATTTCAAGTTAGGGTTTTCACCACAATTTCCTGGTTCACTAAACATGGAAAATAAGAGTGCTAGTCAGGGGCATCTGTGTACTGTATATATAAAAAAGAAGATGTGGTATGATTGCCAATGAGACAACTCTTCACAAGAGACCAAATGAAAAAGAAATTAACAACTATAGGTCACTGTATGGCCTTTAACAATAAGCAAAGCCCATATTGCATAGTCGGCTATAAAAGGCCCCGAAATCACAAATGTAAAACAATTTAAACATGAAAACTAACAGCCTAATTTATGTATAAAAAAAGGAACGAAAAAACAAATATGTAACGCATCAACAAACGACAATCACTAATTTACAGGCTATGACTTTGGACAGGCATATTCATACAGAATGTGGCGGGGTTAAACATGTTAGCTGGATCCCAACCCTTCCCCTAACCTGGGACAGTGGTGTAACAGTACAACATAAGAACGAACTTTAAAAATTGGTTGAAAAAGGCTTAACTCATCAGATGGATACAAATAGAAATACATCTAACAAAAACCTAGAGTGGACGTGGCCGGGTACTGGTATATCCAAACAACAAAAAGACACTAAGTACTGATCTGAGAGTACTCGCAGTTACTGACAGCTAGTTCAAAGCCACTAACCAATAAAAAAAAAATCATGCATCTAAGGCTAAATTATCAATCAATACACATCCAACATCCAATGGATTTAGTGTAAAGACATCATAAACAGTCTGAGAAAAACATGACCTTGTATATGTATATAACAATGATATTTAGTTTGCTTTTAATTTACTGGTAACAAAATCAACATTAATACCGTATTGCGGGTTATTTTCACAGGTGTAAAATTTCACGATTTTCATTGAATAAGGTATACCAAATATTTTGGTGGGTTTTATTTTGGCGGATTCAAAACTTATATCAATACCTTTGCATGTGCACTTTTAAATTGGCGGAATTTATTTTGGCGAATTTGTTCTTTTCGTGAAAATAAGCGAAAATTTACACCCTGCGAAAATTACCCGCTATACAGTACCAATAAAACAATATTCAATGAATTAATTAGTGTTGAATTGGTAACCTTTAAGAATAAGTTTATTTAAAGGATCGATACGTTTAACAGGATCTTTTCTAAATTTCCTGGCACAGTAAACAACATTTCCATAAAAATGAGGATGTGTTGTGTACACTTTCTTGTTTAAATATATGACATGCAATCAAACAGACCTAAACGTAGGGTTATATACACGATGATGACGATTGTACATATTCTTATATCTATTTTTCATTTATTTTTATGTTTAAATTGGGCTATATGACCATTGGAATTCTTCAAAGTGACAACCCTGATGGTTAAATAGATGGCGTCTATAGTTTAAAAAAAACATGAAATTGTACATTTTAAAGAAACGTTATGCATTGTTAATAATGTCATTAGGACTTTTTGTAATTTAGATAGACATTTTAGAATGTTATAAATAAACATGAATTTGATTTGAACCAGTAAACAATAAATTGACAGCTAGTGCCCCTTTAGGACTTGGTCAGCAGCTTGTTACATGTAAGCATTTTTGGGTCTGTCTGTGACACCTTATCATTGTTTGATACTTAGAATTAATCATGCATAGCATGCATAGTGTATACTTATCATGACATCACATACATTATTTAAGCCACAGTAATCATTATGTAATTCAAAGTAGAGCAAAATGTGATTGCCCTTTTGACACAAGATCTGGTTTCATATCTTGACGAAATCTGTATTGGATTATGTAAAGTATCAAAAGAATTTAATGCAGTTTTTTTTTAATGTTGATTTTGATTTCAATGATAATAGATTTCTGAATTGTTGAAATGATTTTCTTACTTTAAAATTAAAAAGGGTTAACAATATTTTCTTCTTTTATAACTTGATAAATAAATTTATAACACGACGTACCCTTTCTTCTTTTTAGGCATAGAGATGCACATAAAGAGACAATTCAGAGACCAACATTTATCCTACATGGCAGTACAATCTGTGATTCAGCTTGGAGGCTTATTCATGGAGTCAAATATAGAAGGTACATGTTAATCAGTTAGACAGGTCAATTTGTAAATCGTATTTAAAAAAATATCAAAACTTTGTTTAATAGAAAGGACCATGGTTCTCAAGTTTAGGTTATAACAAACCAACATAGGTTTCGAATTCTCTGCCCTGAAATTTTCAGACAACCTGTTCTTGGGTTGCTGCCCCTAAATTAGTAATTTTTAGGAAATTTTGCAGTTTTTAGTTATTATCTTGAATTTGATCATAGTATCTAATAATCTATGGTATCTAATACGATTAATTATGATATTAACCTTATTATCATGATTCCAAAAACAACAGTAATTACAGGTGAGCGACACAGGCTCTTGAGAGCCTCTTGTTTTCTTCTTGCTTAAAGATTTGATATTTGGTATATTGTTTTATCAGGACGAGTTATATATCAAATTTGAATTTTGTTCCCATCTGATGATTTTTTGCAGAGTTATGGTCCATTAAAAAATTCACTTAAATAATCAGTTTTCCACACTTTTTTTGACCTCTTGAAGATATTAACTTGATATTTGTTATATAGCTTACACCATGACATGTTATAGATCAAGCTAGCAGTTTGTTCCAGTATAATTAATTTTTAACCAGTAGGGGACTATGTATTGCCATGCAATACTCTCAGAATGCTTGTTAATCATAAGTTTCTTATTAACGACGAGATTTGGCATGATTATGAGTTGTTATGGACCTTGGACCAAGTAAATCAGTTGAAATTATTGTTTTCCACACTTTTTCTTGAATGTTTAATGCAGTTAATTAAATTTGGAATGTAAAGGCATATTAAAAGAAGTAACATGTTCAACAAAATGATCCAAGTTTGAGAATTACAAAATGATGACAACTCGACCTATGATTTTGAGAAAATTTTGACAAAATAATCTCTTTTGTAGATATCAGTACATCCGCAAGAAACTAAACACTGGTGTGAAAAAAGTATCATTGCCTGATGGAAGGAGCGGAATGAAGTATACGACTGAAGCCCACATCATAGCAAAACAGTACTTGGAACAGTATGCTAAGCATTTTGGTGATGACCAGCCAGATGTTCCAGAGATTCATCTGCCTTCATGTTTAACAAAGAAATTGGTGTATAAAGACTACAGCCTGCACTGTATTACAAATAAACTTAAAGCAGTAAAGAGGACAAGGTTCCTACAGATATGGAGAATGGAGTTCCCAAATGTCAAAGTTAGGAAGGTATATCAGTTGTGATATTATAAGATATCTTGGGGTGATCAGAGGTGTACAGAATTTTATACCCACAGAGAAATCCATACACCCTCAGGAGCAGCAGGAGTGTGCACCGATTTCCAACACCTGTGTAAAATTCCATACACCCCTGATCTCACCAAGATAACAAATCTATTTCTTAAATGTCATAGCAAATTTAAATACAGTAATAACCTCCCTTTTACTGGACTCGTTCTTTACCAAAACAAAGCATTGAAACAAAATAATCTGCTTATGTTTTGTTTAACAAAAATGATCATTATTTATAATTGTAGAAATCCATTTAAATGTATTAATCTAATGTCTGCACACAATTAATAAAATTGAGAATGGAAATGGGGAATGTGCTACAGACCACAACCCCATTAAAGAGCAGACAACAGCCGAAGGCCACCAATGGGTCTTAAATTAAGTATTTATTATAATATTTATCCCTGCCTCAATTAGGGCAGAATGTTATAATACATCCTCACAATCAACCAATCAGATAGCAGGATTCCTGCCTCATAAGAAATAAGAAATCTTATACTCTAAAATCAAATACATTCTTAATTGGTTCTGATTAATAACGTGTTTCAATAATCAAATTTATTATTTTAGCATCAGAAGATGACACAGTGCACAGAATGTGCTGTTTTCAAAGAGGCTTTTCTAAAGAAGCTTAGTCAAGATGAGTTCAAGAAGCTTGAGGTCAGGAGAAAAGCACACCTGACGTTACAGAGGTAATATTATTTAAAAGAAATAAGACTTCCAATTATCCCAAAGGGTCCAGGACTAAATTAAACTTTGTTGAAACTCTGTTCAAATTTATTCTTTGTCAGAAATCTATGATGTGGGAAATATTTAATCACTTTCGGAATTCAAAGCTGTATCAAGCTTGAATATTGTGTCCATACTTGCCCCTACTATTCAGAGTCATTTTTTTAATAGTGATAGGATGAGAAAATATATATTATGATATTTTGGAATCTGAAGAAATATTTCTGGATAAACCTTTATTTAAATGATTAAACCAAAAGATATCTCATTTAATTGACCCCTGGTCTTACAACTGAAAAAATCTTCATAGTAGCTGTAATAATTCTGAGACACATGATATTTTGAAATAATGAATAAGAAAAAATTTTCCTTTCGCTCGGATCAGAATTTGATTTCCAATGACTATTCATGTATAAAAAGTAACAATAAAACAGAACTCTGAAGAAAATTCAAAACGGAAAGTCCATTATCAAAAGGCAAATCAAAAGCTCAAACACATCAAACAAATGGATAACAACTGTCACATTCCTGACTTGGTACAAACATGTGGGTTTTATAGCTAGCTTAACCTCTCACTTGTACAACATTCACACAGAAATTCCCTTATATTGACAACGATTTGTGCAGAAAACATAGACACAATTGGAAAAATGACAAAAATAGTGGTACAGCAGCAAACATTGTGCTCCTATAGTCAAAATCACTTTATAATCAAACAAATACACCAACAAAGAAATACAAAAAGGCATAAAGACAAAGCACATTAGCAAAAACAAAAGACAAGAATATAAAAATTTACCATAGCACAATAATACAATGCTGGGATGTATAGGTACAGAGGCCAGGTAAAATGGATACTACTAAAAATAGACTAAACAGTAAAGGTGATAATTTACTAAGGCAAATAAAAGAACACTATAACACGTTATTAAGATGATAAACGTCAGTATCTTGAATCTATACTCCAATACTGTCGTGTATTTTTTGTGAATTTGATACAGAATATTTATCAACAAGGTCTTAGTATCTGCAGATGAACTTTTTTAGAAAGGACAAGATGGTCCTTGACATACCCTTGAAAATAAAACATATTTATAAATTTTCAGAATTGCTAGAGAGAAGTATTATAAGCACAGAACAAAGGCCCAAGAAAATCCCCAGCAATATCTATCACTCATTATAGATAACATGGACCAGTCTAAGACCAATTTGCCTAGGTTTCCATTTGTTTCGAAGGTAAGTTATTTTGTTTGAAATTGTGAAAAACATCAATATTATTAATATTAAGTCAGTTGTTGAAAGATTTTTCTTTTTTTACATTTCTTAGTTAAAATGTTTGTGAAAGGAATTGTCATTCCTCGCAACCCTGTCATTTGAGGACCAGTTCAATTTTTACTTTTAGAAAATTGATTAAAAAAAAGGGACGGATCCAGCTATTTTTAAAAGATTCCAACCATATATCCCCATTCAAAAGCATTGATTTAAAAAAAAAGGGGGGGGGGGGGGGTCCACTCATAGGACCTCCCCTTGATTGGCCATTGAATAAGAAGATTTGAAACACAATTTCCAACTTAAAAATTCCAGTTAATGATTTGGGGTTGTCTGTAGTGCAGGACAGGCTGGCATCTCAAGCTTTTGAAATTTTAATTATTAGTTTCTGATGTAAAAAATTAAAGGACAATTTTGATATTGGAGATTTTCTTTTTTACTGATCATGAGTTGTGGTCTTTGAAAGATTAATAAAGGTGGCTCCAGTCAATTACCTACAATAACTAATGAAACATTTAGATATAGCTTTTCCGATTTATTATGTTGTTACTGTGACAAAACAGAGGTCAAGTTTGAAAATGATAATTTTCACTTTCAAGGGTATTATGGTCCTTTATAGATTGGAAAAATTGTGTTACACAAAAGAAATCTGGTTAAGTGTCATTCTGACAGTTCTTGTTATATATTTAATCTGCTGGTACCAGGAGATTAATATATTAAAAGCACACAGAAGTATAACAGATACTTATGAGTAAATTATAAAAAGACCACCAACTTGTTAGATTGTAATGAAAGTGCCAATGAGAAAAACCAAGTGTGAAAATAATCTAAATGTTTATTTCTTTTTGCAGGCAGACAACAGTCTGACTAAGTTGCACCATCATGTAACTGGTGTTTTATGTCACGGTCTACAGAAGTCTTATGCATTTACATGGACAGACCAATTTGCTTCCAATTGCAATATTACTCTTAATTGTTTGATGACTGTTCTTGATGATGTGGCAAAGGTAATATTTACATCTTTTTGATTGTCTGTTTTGTTCATCAGCCAAAAACTAGGAGTTAATAGGACTGCTTGAATATCTATCTTTACTCTTTTCAAAGAAAAGTGAACCGTTTTAAACAAAACCTGGTATGATATTCTATTTCAATATTCCATACATGTGATTCTTGAGGCGGGAATCAAAATCTTCCAATTTTTGAAGCCCTCTTCTGTCCCTCCCTTTAAACATTCAAATCTTCCGGTTTTTTTTCAAAAATTTAACTTCTAAAAAAGTGTCAGTCTCTTTCTATAATTACCGTACCATCAATGTCAACCTTAATTAAGTTTTTGTGTTACAGAAGAAGGTAAATGTTATCTGTAAATCAAAGAACTTGTACTGTTATATGACTTCACTTGACAGCTTTGGTGTCAAACATACTAGTAATCAACGATTTTTACCTCGGGCTAAATGCTGTTGTGTCATAAAAACCTTTGTGTATTTAAAAACTTTTAAAATAAATTTTGGGTTACTTCCCTTGTTTTATCCTGTTTTTTTTGATAGGAAAATAACACTGTTTGCATATATGTGTTTTATATTTTCCTTTGTGTTGCTGTCTTTATCTGGATTATTTTTCAAATTTAAGAATATGATAACTATTTTTTTTATCTTGCAGAACAATGGAGGTAGCTTGCCACCAACATTATATCTTCAAGCTGACAATGCTGCGAAAGACAACAAAAATAACTATGTATTGATGTTCTTAGCCATGCTAGTGAAAGCTGAAATAGTTAAAAAGGTATTGGATAATGTTTGCATAATTTTTTTTTTTACAGTATTCTGTTTAAGTAAATGTATATTTCCAAAGGAAACGTGAGCTTTTGCCATCACTTGGCGTTCATTGCCGTCTGCCTGGTTATCTAGAATAAAGTTTGTGTTTTATTTTCTGTGTCCTCAGAAAACATAGCCGTAATGGCTAAAAATAAAACATTGGCATTTAGAACAATCAGACAAGAAGTTTTAGTATTTATTATGTCAAGGTCTACCTGCCCTGAAAATATCAGCCAAATTAGGTTGACGGAGTCAAAGAGCGAGACATAGGTATGCTGTTTCCGGCGGCGGCGACGGCGTCAACAATGTATTAGTTTGTGATTAGGTCTAGTTCATGGTGAACCACTAGTGGTAGGTCAATGATAATTCGTATGCAGTTGTATTAGCATTGGCACATCTCATTACCATGGAGATTATTTGGCCCCGCCCCCTCAGTCAAGGTCTATTGACTTTGAAACTTTGCTTAGTTTACATGTATTAGTTTGTGATTAGGTCAGTTTAAGGAAAACCACTAGTAGAAGGTCAATGATATTTGGTATGCAGTTGTATTAACATTAGCACATCTCATTACCATGGAGATTATTTAGCCCTGCCCCCTCAGTCAAGGTCTATTGACTTTGAAACGTTGCTTAGTTTACATGTATTAGTTTGTGATTAGGTCAGTTTATGGGGAACCACTAGTGGTAGGTCAATGATATTTGGTATGCAGTTGTATAAGCATTGGCATATCTCATTTCCATGGAGATTATTTGGCCTTGCCCCCTCATTCATGGTCTATTGACTTTGAAACTTTTGATTAGTTTTCATGTATTAGTTTGTGATTAGGTCAGTTTAAGGGTAACTGTTAGTGGTAGGTCAAAGATAATTGGTATGCAGTTGTATAAGCATTAGCACATCTCATTTCCATGGAGAATATTTGGTCGTTACCCCTCAGTCATGTTCTATTGACTTTGAAACTTTTGCTTAGTTTACATGTATTGGTTTGTGATTAGGTCAGTTTAAGATGAACCACTAATGTTAAGTCAATGATATTCGGTATGCAAATGTATTGGCATTTGCAAGTTTCATTTCCATGGAGATTAAATAACCCCACCCCCTAATTATGGTTCATTGACTTTGAAACTTTTACATAGTTTACAAGTTAATGTTTGTGTTTAGGTTTGTTTAAAGGGAACGACTTATGAAAAGTCAATGGTATTTGGTTTGCAGTTGTATTAGCATTGGCACATCTCATTTCCATGGAGATTGTTTAGCCCTGTACCTTCAGTCATGGTTCATTGACTTTGAATATTTTCATAACTTACATGTAAAAGTATTGCTATTTTAATTTCAACATTTGCATTATCAAAATAACAAATAGGCGAGACATATCTCTGTGTTAACACTTTATTCACAGTTTGTTCATCTAGTTTGCTTACTTTAAAAAATCTTCTCCTTTGAAACTGCTGAATCAATTTCAGCCAAACTTGTGCTGAATGAGTTTGAGAGTATCTAGCATAAATTTTGTATTTTATTTCCTTGTACATAAAGAAACATAGCCACTATGGCTAAAATGGAACATAGATGAAAAATGCATTTTTTTAATGAAAAAAATATGACATTCAAAGAACATTTACATATACATATACATAGATATATATATATATATATATATATAATATGAATAATACAGTAATTAAACTCCCGTTTACGGGACGTATTATGGTAAACTGTTGTCCATCTGTCCGTCCGTCGTCAACATGTTGGACATTAACTAAAAAAGCGCTTCAACCAATTTGCATAAAACTTTGGTGAATTGTTCATATCTATTGACGTGAGCTTCCTTTCATTTTTTATAAATTTTAGATTTTATGTTTCGGAGTTATATGGTTTTATTCATTAAAAAAAGAGGGATTCTCTAGTTTTCGGACCATTACTCAAAAATACTTCAGCAGTTCTCATGAAACTTTGGAGAATTTTTTATATCTATTGATGTAAGCTCCCTTTCAATTTTTATAAATTTTAGATTTGACACTTCCGAGTTCTTGGATTTTATTCATAAAAAGGGGCATTTTTCCAGTTTTCAGACAATACCTTTAAAATGCTTTGATCAGTTTTCATTTAAACTTTGGTGACTGTTTTTTTTTCAATTAAGAAAACCTCCCTTTAGTTTTTCACAAATTTCTGATATGACATTGAGAAGTTATTGATCTTTATTCTTAAAATATGTGACCCGCGTATCATGTGCTCATGGCGCAGCTGTTTATTTTTAAGATATATAACATTAGAAATAAACGATTACTTATGTAGACTCCATACCGGATGGTGTTTGAAAATAAATAAAATACAATATTAACCCTCTCTAATAAAGAAGAAATAAACTACATTATTACTGCATGTCTATTTAGTTTCTGGAATGCACTATTTCGTTTATTTCTAAACAAGTACTAGTAAATCTTGACATTGACATATTAACATTTTCAAACTCACAGGACATTGAAACTACAGTGTGAAACCAGTATATTTATATGTTTATAAGTTATTTTGTTAAGGTAGCTTACCCTGAACTTGTATTATGATCAACATAAATTTTGTACCGATGTTTATATTGATGCTATATTTAGAAATTGTTTGCCAAAATACTGAGTTTCGTCCCAGATTTATGATAAATGAACAATCACTATGAAAAAGCAAGCTGCCCTGTGTAAATGTATTCTTGATTTTATTCTTTGGTTTATTTTTTAGATCAAACTCAGTTTCCTGATGGTAGGTCACACCCATGAGGATGTCGACCAGTTTTTCTCCAGGATTTCAGTTAAATGCCACCAGCAAGCAGCTGTCACACTTCCTGACCTACACCAGCTCATATCAACGTCGATCAAACCTATGCCATATATTGAACATATCACCAGCCTTTGGGACTTTAGAAAATTGTCAACATCTGATTACTCACTTTGTGACTTTAAAGATATTCATCATTTTGTATTTAGCAAGGCCGATGACAAAGTGAGTTTGAAATTTAAGAACTGGCCACTGCACTCTGAGCCATACAGAGAACTGGATGTGACAGGTGCCATACCCGACCTGGAAGTCCCATCAATAGTGGAAGGCATACCCCCAAAGTTTAGCTCAGTCGTGACAAACATGAGTGAAGATCTTGAGAAGTGGATGTCGACTGGAAGGTATGTAACATTAAATTTTCAGTATAGTTCCATGTTCTGTTGATATTTTATAAATTAAGGGAATATTGAATATTACTTGATATCAGCAACTTGTTTAATTTCAATAGAATAAGAAACAAGCCTTTGACGAGTATGATTATCATTTTAATTAAATAAGATATTCACAAGTTTATTAATACACTCGGGCACCATTGTGTGCAACAAGAGCAACATCATATAGTATACAAAATAATAAATTGGTCAATAAATATTACAAAATAAAAAATAACGCAACCCTTTTATCACTACAGGTGAAAAAGAGGTTTTCAGTATTTGTGAAATAAATTCAGGATAGTACTAGCGTAGAATAAAATTTTAAAGATAGATTATTAATAGAGTTCATGCACTTCGCATTGGTTTTATATTGTCCAGGCTTTACGAATCAGAATACGAATAAGAAGTGTTGATATGCCATCCAATTTCCCACACTACAAAATAATTGGGGGTTTATAGTATTTGACCCATCTGTTTGTCAGTCACTTTCGATTCTGGATACTTGCTTCAAATACTCTCTATCTGATAACAGCCATACTTGGTTATATGCTCACACCTGATATAATAGAGGAATTCTATGTATTTTGAGGTTAACACTTCAAATGTCGAGGTCATTATTACTAAAAATAGACTGAAATTTATGTAGAGAAGAGGTTTCAGGGTTCTTAAAGAAATACAACACATGGGATTGTCACCTTACTTGGATATAAGGTTACACATTACAGAAGAAAATGTCATAGTAATTAAGAGATAGACATCCTGATGTACATTGTTTTAATCTTAGAATTTCATGATTTGACCTAATTAATAATCACTTGAATATTAAACAACAATCAAATTTACAGATTGTTTGAAACACTTTCTCATATCACATTCTGTGCAGTATGATATGAGAAATAAATAGCTCTTCAAATACTTCTTCAGGTCAACCATAAGAGAATTAAGTTTATTAATGTTTATGTGCACAGTTTACTTTTATTGTCTATTGTTAGGTGTACTAAATCATTTATTATCACTTTTATTGCTGTGCTTTGCCAAAGAAGTATAAGTATCACTTGTTGAATATTTATCTAATTTAAGGAAAGATGCAATGATGTCATATATCTCCAGTGAAATTAAAATATTAATTTAGGTCTTAGTTAATTGTGTTTGATCTGTCATTGACAATATTATTCAGTATTTCAGAAATTGTTTATGTTTTCGATGATAAACTCACTTGAAAATATTTATTTACCAAATACCAGTTCTTAACTCCTTGTTTCTCATTTAAGGTTTATGCAGCAACATCTTGATTGGTGGAAAGAATATCTTGAAACATTCAGCCAAAGAAAAGCCCGACCTAATGTGCCTCTTCCAACCAATTTCCAAAAGTATAAAAATCCAAGGAAGCAGACACCAACTTTGGAATCCAATATAACAGATGTCATTGACAAACATTTAAAAAAATGCCAGAAGAAATCAGTGATTCGCCTCGTAAAGAAAAGACGTTGAGTAATGTCACCCATGACTGAATATAATTTCTATTATTATAACTGATATATTCTATGTTTCTTAGAGATGTACTTAGGTGAAATTAAAAAAATCCAGAGTTTAAAATTGATACTATAAGTCGAGAGAGCATTGGTTAGCAAAATAAGCTAAAAATATTGATAGGTTATTGAGGTCCTTTTCGAGATATTTCATTTTTAAGAAATGGAGGGAAAATGCTGACTCTGACTTTTACCTTATATTTGCATATATACATATACTATTTGGGTCTCAAATTGAAAGAAAAAATAAAGAATCTTCTTAAATGTTGGTACATGACATTTTATGAGCTATTTAAGTCTTATATGAAAAGAAAATGGGTGTTATGGGGCAAATTATTTTACCATGTATCCTAGGGGAAAAAACAAAGGAGTCCGAACATCCTACACAAATTCATAAACTTAAGTACATCCTTAAGTTCATTTTCTTTAATATAATGTAAAGAATTAAGATTTATAATATATGGATAAGGGTTACAGTATATATTCATACTCGTACTATTTCATTTGTTTCGTTAAACTTTCAGGATTGTTCTTGTTATATTGTATTATTCATATACTTACCTTTTCATTATCATATGTGTTTTTGTATATATAACAAATTCATATATTATTAGTCCTGTGTAAATACTATCAGTAAAGAAAAACATGTAAATAACAATAATAAATGATAAAATGCAAGCTATTTGTATGATATATTTTTAATTATGAAACTAAATTAAAAGTGTAATGGTCATGATTAAATTAAATGGTTGTGATTGTGTAATATACTTGTGTTTCTATTACAACCAACTAAATGTGTATCAATGGATATTTGTGTCTTTATAGATAGTTTATTCAAAGTAATTATTTTAGGTTAAAACTTGTTTTTTCAGCAATAGTTAATACATGCAGTTTGATGCAAACTGACTGGCTTCAAAAGTATACAATTTTATAAAATCCACAAAATGGGTTTATTTTAAGCTTATCAATTCCTTCTTTTTGATTGGTACCTTGAATTTTTTAAAATCAATATGAAGAAACAAAATATCTATTTATATTAGAGTTTAAGACTGTTGATCATATTTATAGATATTTTTATTGATTTTAAATGTTGTAAAGAATTGTGTTTTAAAAAAGTATTAATAAATTCCAGAATAAACATATATTGATACATATATCGTCTGCTTTGTTATTTAAATATTTAGTTTGAAACAGTTATAGAACAATATATTGCATTACAATATCCAAGGAAAAAAATATATCCAGCTACGAAGAATCATCAACCATAGAATCAATACTAAGAGATTGATAACTGAAACACACAAAAAAACACTGTACTTAATTTCATTGATGTTTAAAGGAAATCAATCATCCCATGGGATTTTAAACTTTATAAAAAGAACCATATTTATCCCATGGGATTTTAAAAAAATCCCATGGGATAAATATGGTCCCATGGGATTTTTTTTGTCCCATGGGACAACAAATATCCCATGGGACTACAATTATCCCATGGGACCCAAAAAAATCCTATGGGATTTAACCAAAATCCCATGGGATAATGGCAAATCCCATGGGATTTTGCATATCCCATGGGATATTGAAAATCCCATGTTTTTCTTTATCAAATTGCAAGATATATTTAATGATTACATAAAAAAAGGTATGCATTTATTGAATCCCATGTAATTCCGCACATTTTGGTTCTATACATGACACTGTAGCTCTAAGGAGAGGCGGCGGCGGATTTGCAAATGAGTGTTTTGCAAATTAAAAGTGTCCAGTGTTTTTTGTTAAAACTATTAAGTATTGCAGGGGAAAAATGTAACACAATTAAAAGCATTCAAAAAGAAAATAGATCATGGGGCAAAAAATTTGAAAGTATATCAAATCAGCTAGATGAGTCTTTACAGCAATTAGATGAAATGAAGGTTAAATTTGCTACATTAGGGCCAAAAAATTCAGTAGAAAAATTAATAGGAGGGATAAAAAAAAAATATCAAAATTAGAGGATGAAGTAGTTGAAAAGAAAAATGAAATTGATGAACAGGCTATGGAAACTGATAATTTAAGGTTCATATCCCAAGAAAATGTTCAAAACATTAAAAATTTAACTAAAGATAAACGTAGGCTCTTGGTAAAGGTGTGTCGGTTAGCCAAAAAGTGTGATTGCTCAGTTTCTGAACAAATTCAAGATGAACATCTGAAATTCAAAATTTAAAAACTGAAATTAGAGCCAAACAAGACAAAATATCAGAACTTGAAACAGAAGAGAGACATGCTATCTGTCATATAGTGGAATGAATTTCAAAATTTCAAAATTAAGTTGCAAATTAACACTTCAGCAACATCTGTAGTAACAACATCTGTTCATTATTCACTGAATATACTGGATGTAAATTAACATTTTTGGAAACTCTGGTATATTCCATATATGACTGAAATAAACAAGCTGGTCATAAAAGCCTGAACGAATTACTCAGTAAAGATGACGCACTTATCGAACAGGTGCACATACTTAATGAACACATCCGTACTATAAATACGTCTTTAGGCACAGGTGCACCGAACTTCAATTTCGATTAAAGCCACTCAAAATACAAAACTTCATCGAACGCAATCTATCGACCTCGTAATCAATACAATTTCACCTTATACAAAGACGGAATTCATCCTAACCGAAATCTAGCTGGAGTCCGGTTACGTAAACTTGCAATTAAAGTAAAAGACAAGATTCAACCACTTTTTATAGATAATTTCTAAAACTTTAATCGGTATTTTTCTTTATTGATTACTTTACCATATTTTGGAATGAATTCAACCATTTTTTTTATAGATAGTTGTAGTAGATGTAATATTGAGCCAACTACAGCTTTATTGATAATTTTGCTACATTTTATAGTAAATTTTACCACCTTTTTGATAATTGTATCAGATGTTACCTTAATTCGGTCACTTTTCCAGAATAACTTTATTAGATGTAACCTTAAATCAGCAACTCTCTCTATGGATAATTGTATTATATTTTACAAGATTAAACAAGTTTTTAAGATAATGTATTAGATGTGAATTAAAATCGACCATTTTTAAAGATAATTGTTTCAGATGACATATTAAATCGGCAACTTTCTGTATTGTTAATTAAATTTTACTTTACAAGATTCAACCACTTTTTATAGATAATTTGTTAAATCGGTCCCTTTCTTTATTGATAATTGTATAACATTTTACAAGATTCAACATATTTATATATATGATGTATTAAATGTTACTTAAACCGACGATATTTTATAGATAATTGTATTTGATGTAACAGCAAAACTTGCCGCTACTTTATTGATAATTTTACTTCATTTTACAGTAAATTTGACCACTTTTTTGAAAATTGTATTAGATGTTATCTTAAATCATTCATTTATTTCAGATAACTTTATTACCTTAAATTGGCCACTTTTTCTATTTGATAATTTTATTCAACTACTGTGTATAGATAATTGTATTAGATGTAGCCTTACGTGGGTGTTTTTGCTCTATTCATTATTTAACTTAATTTTACAATGAATTCAACCAATTTTGATAGAAAGTTTAAGTAAAATAACTTTGAACCAACCACAGCTTTATTGAGAATTTAACAACATTTTTAAGTAAATTGTAACCACTTTTTTGATAATTGTATAAGATGTAACCTAAAATTAGTTATATTCTAAAGAGAATTGTATCAGATGTAACATCAAACCTGCCACAACTTCATTGACAATTTTACCACATTTTACAGTAAATTTGTCCTTTTATATAATTGAATTAGATTAGATGCAACCTTAAATAGGCTACAATTTTTTTTATAAGTGTAACTTTAAATCGGTCGCTGTCTTTAATAATAATTGTATAATATTTTACAAGATTAAACCACTTTTTAAGATAATTTATTAGAAAGTTTCTTAAATTGGCCATTTTTCAGATACTTTTATTAGATATAACCTTAAATCGGTCTCTTTCGTTATTGATAATTGTATAACATTTAGCCAGATTCAACCACTTTTGTGATAATTGTATTAGATGTAACCTTAAATCGACCAAATTTTATACATAATTGTATCAAATTTACCAGCAAAACTTGCCACTGCTTTGTTGACAATTTTGCTACATGTTGCAGTAAATTTTACCACTTTTTTGTTAGCTGTACTAGATGTTACCTTTAATCGGTCATTTATTCTAGATAGCTTCATGAGATGTAATCTTAAATTGGTCATTGTCTTTTTTGAGAATTGTATTCTATTTAATAACATTCAACCACTTATTTAAGAAAATGTATTAGATATTTCCTTAAATTTGCCATTTTTTTTTTCAGATAATTCTATTAGATGTTACCTGAAATCGGTCACTTTTTCAGATAATTCTATTAGATGTTACCTTAAATCGGTCACTTTCATTATTGATCATTGTAAAACATTTTACATAATTCAACCACTTTTTATAAATAGTGTATTGACAGTTACCTTAAATCGACAATATTTTATAGATAAATGTATTAGATGTAACAGCGAAACCTGTCGCTGTTTTATAGATACTTTTACTTCAATTTACAGTAAATTTGACCACTTTTTTTTATAATTGTTTTAAATGTTACCTTAAATCGGTCACTTTTCCATGAAAACTTTATAAGTGGAACCTTAAAATGGCTACTTTCTCAATGGATAATTGTGTTATATTTTACAAGATTCAACTACTTTTTATGATAATGTATTAGATATTTACTTGAATTGGCAATTTTTTTCTAAGAATTTTATTAGGTGTAACCTTAAATCGGTCACTTTAATGATTCGGCTTAAGCATTAAGGTATGTTTTTAAACATATTTTTAGTTTATAATTGTATAAAATGAAAGGAAAAGTGCAAAACGGCTTAACGTATGGCCACCAAACTAGCCCATACAAACATGGTGAAAGATTAATCTACGGAAAAAGGATATAATGACTAACCATCCAGGATAATTCTCAATGTAAAAAGTTGTGTAAAATGTAAAGATTCTGTAAAAAGGAATAACAAAATGAACTTCGTGCCAGGATCAACAATCAAAATGAACTGGGAAAACGGTTACTTGCCGACAGTGTGGAAAACATGCTAATAACACGTACAGTTCATGTTTGAAGAACCACTATAACCTACGAACGAGGAAACTAAATGCATTTAGTTACTGATATCGGTAGGGAATAAAGGCCGTAACATTTTATTTTATTCTACATGGAATTTAGAAACTGTAAAGGTTAAGCTATTAAAGACTTACTACAATAAGATTGATAACTACGCTACCGTAGGAAAGCTATAAAGCGAAATTTAAAACATCTATTTAAGCAGTGTAATGTTTTAAAGAAAGAATTGTGTCCTAATTTAACAGTATCAAATGATGAAGTTACATTTACTTCCAACATCAATGGATTACAAGAATTTTGTAATAATAAAGTTGAGAATGAAACAAATAACATTGATATTGATCAAGTTTGTAACAATAGAGGTAAAATATGCGAAAGCTCTCTTTGTTTTATTTGAAAAGAATGTTTTCACACACACAGCCAAGTGCCTCATCCTTGAAAATGTATGTGACAGTGTTGATTGATTGATTGATTGTTGGTTGCTTAACGTCCAGTGGCAAATATTTCATGCATATTCAGGACGAGAACAAATTAACAATAAATACAATAGGTAGGTTCTGTAATAGATTAAGGGATTAAGGTCGGAGAAATTTAGACTGCCACAGGAAATGAGGGTATATTGGATAGGGACAGAAATTTAGCCTTGCAACAGGTCACTTACGGATCCCTCAAAGAGTTGTTGCAAGGGTTCTTAACGTGCA